ATTAACAGAAGCTGACATAACAAAAATGTTCGATAAGCGCATTCGAAGTGTGCCACATTTAAACTATCGTCAACGAAAAACTTAGTTTATTCAGCATCTTTTGTAAGCCCAAATAATTCGGAAATATTGTGAGGATGTGACGATGTGACCGTAGCATCGAGTTTAACGAGTTGAATGAATTAAATTTGACAGAATTATACACAGACAACGTTCAAAAGGGTGGTTTCAATCATCTATCCTTGAAAATTTGAACAAATTTACGTATTAATCGCCACAAATTATTTTTTTCCATATTTAAGAGAAACTACGACCAAAATATGGAGGCACACACAAACACGAACACCAANTGTGAGAATGTGACGATGGGCTTGTTAAAACGAATAAATGCACTTATTACCATAGCATCGAGTTTAACGAGTTGAATGAATTAAATTTGACAGAATTATACACCGACAACGTCCAAAAGGGTGGTTTCAATCACCCATCCTTGAAAACTTGAACAAATTTACGTAGTAATCGCCACAAATTATTTTTTCTATATTTAAGAGAAACTACGACCAAAATATGGAGGCACACACAAACACGAACACCAAAGTAAAATCCAAGAATGCTTGATAGTTTGAATTACGCGCTTCACCTGATCGCCATGCATATCTGTGTGGGACCGCGGTGCGGCCTTTATCGACCACCACGCTACTGTATCGACTTTACACGCGTGCGGCTTGCGTGCTCCCTCGTCATTACTGTATGGTACCATACCTTTCCTTAGTTATCCGCGCGGCAATTTGCTTTTTTTGAAACGCTATCGTAATCCTCTATTTTGTACCGTATCGTCGTAAGCGGTTTACGTTCTGTATCATACAATCGTTTGCGATGGTCACTGATCAAAAAAGGATCTATTGGAAATCGATTTGCATATTGCATTCACCAATGAGCCATCGTTTACCAGTTAGTGGACATCAGTATTACAAGTTGAGGATGTTCTAGAGTCTCGCAGATGCATGGAAATCGCCCTAAATCTTATTCTAAACCGAAGAGGCCTTCGAAGTCCCAATTACTTTATACTTTGTCACAAATTAGCAAGAAATTATGACAAAACATTATTCCGTGCTACTTTTTTTGAATGCCTACGAGTTTCTTGAGAATTACTTTCCAGAAGGTCGAAAAGGTTTTACATTCTCCCTAATTCATAGTTTTCATCAAGTTCAATGGTTCCGAGATCCATACCGTAATCAACTGCCATGTCTCCGCCTCAGCCATAATGCTCAGCAGAGACAAATTTCCTCTATAGGGATTCTACGCGCTGTTACTGCTAAGAAGAAATTGAGCGTAAACTGTCTTCAAGGAAGCCTCTAAATTGTGACATTTGCTTGATTGCCATCGCAAACGGTCTGTTCTCTACGTTGAGTGGAAGGAAATGTGCCCTCAAACTTTTTCAAAATTTTAAAATTACCTGAAAGTATTCTGAATAATTGAATAATCTCTTGTGTCCTGCTCTCTAATGACATTGACCATTCTGAGAAGATTTTATTGTTTGAGGTGAACAATTTGAACAAGATGAGCCTCTAACTAAAGGAATAAATTCCCTGGATCACCTTTCTCTATTATTCCTTGAAATTGACAACTTTTTTATATGACCGTTAGAATGGAGACTTTATCCTCTTTCTAAAAGACAAAACATATTTTTGAGAATCCCCATCTTCTACTTAACTTTGAATATGCTGGATTTCAAGTCTTCTCTGAAGATATCTATTTCGAATGAGTACGCTTTGAATATGACGTGATTGTTTACTCATAAGTAGTACTTTTTGTTGCCCAAAAATCCCAATTCGTCGACTACCGCTCCTTTATCCATACTAAGTAGGTGACATGCACTTCTCTTGTTCTAAATATACTACTTGTTATCGCTTCACTTCGACCCTTTCAGTGTTGCACAAATAAATTTTCTATCACTCAGGCTAATCACGAGCAGCGAGTATAACGCGTATGTATGTTGAGGAGATACTGATTTCTGAGTGATCTCAAATGGGAACGTATGAAAGTTTGGGGTGGAAGGACCGTCGGACATAGGCTTACGCCATGCATACGCTCATTCTTTCATCATTTTCTGTTACATTCTACTTCACTTACTAGAAAATAACTTCCGAGAAGTGGCGATTTCCATACCACGCTCGCTAAATAACTTTTAACGTCTATTTTCTCCTTTCCGATTTGTCTGAATAGGCTGTATTTCAGTGGTATCTGTCGCTTTCGGCACCGTAAGCGGTGATGGATCTTCCGCATGAGGTGGTGTATCATCACCACCTCCCAGTCGAAACTGAAGATGATATGCGAATGATGGAGGATCAGGTAGAAGAACACCTGGATGATATTGAATACGGGGTGGGATGGTGTTCATTTATTAGTTCCGCTTTCAAGTGTTTTGAATTGCCCTTGGACGATTTTCTTGATGAAAGCGGCAATTCGTTGTATCGGTGTATGGGGAAGTTTCGAAAAGGCAAGTTGAATATCTTTCGGTATGAAACCCGATCATTCTATCACCGATTTTAGCAACAATTTCCATTTTCGTTTTGAAGTTTGTTAAAGGAGTCTCAACATCAACTGTTTGAATTATTACTGCGATAATTTTGAGTCGTTATAATGGCAGTTCTCCTAGTTGCTGTATGACGTTAACAGAGTTTCCTTCAAACGTAACTAGCGAACCTTAAAAATTGAGTCTTACTCTAGTCTGGTTTAAGCAGAACTTCTGAACGTCACTGGTAGCTAATTTTCACAAAAAATCGTAATTTGATAAACTTTCCCCTCGTAACCAAATACTGCCGTTATGAGCCTGGATACTACATTGTAATAATGTGCTACTGCAACTAGGGACATGCTGTACCGCTTAGCTCCCTCTCTCATCGGAGCCAAACATTCCCTGAACCACTTGTATTCATGGGCCTGTTACCTAGAAAAGCATGAAACATTCGTGCAAGGATGTTGAATTCTTCCTTTGAAGCGTAAGGAGTGTAGGTCTTTATAGTTCAAGATCGTCTCTCACAAAAGTTGCAACAAAAGTAAAACCCTAATATTTCGAGCGGATAATCTCGTCAGGCTTTGTTTTAAGTCATATGAAGCGGAACTTACTAGAAAGTAGGTAGTTAAAAGTACCAACTCACAACTATCTACTCATTCCACACTGCCATATTTCCTTTTGCATCCTTCTCCGATTGTTTTTATGTGTCCTCATATTACAGGGTGATGTTGGCATGGATGGCAGCCTCAGTGAGCCGCGAGCTGTGCATCAGTGTAATATCTGTAACAAAATTTTTGTATCATTTAAAGGTTTGCGGACACAAATCATTCGTTTCGTTCCATTTTTATGACTTGCTTATTGTCGTTCAGGCTTACAACAACATGCGGTCATTCACACTGATCAGAAGCCGTATCAATGTGATATCTGTGGGAAATCTTTTAGATTCAAATCAAATCTTTTTGAACATCGATCGGTACATACGGGATTTACTCCACATTCTTGCCCATATTGCGGGAAAACTTGCAGGTATGACGTTTTAACGTAACCAATGTTCCTATAAGGCTTGTTATCTGCTTTTCACATGTTTTTTTCGTCTTTCATAACATCTCTCATTTGCACACATTGGTAAGGAGGCATGAAGTTCGCAAGGGTGTATTAGTGTTCTAAATTAAATCTATGGGGTGAGTCTCCGCCACCTTCATTCAGAGTAAAACAGTGAGATTGGGATTTTAAGCATACTTTTTTTACCAGGATTGATGACATCTTTGTTGTACATACCTACCTATCCTGGAACGAATTGAAAGAGGTCAGAGTAGGCCATCTACCCAGACTAAAACGATCAAGAAACAGAAACAAATTAGTGCACGCATGATCGACAAAAAACGCAAAATTAAAGCGAAATAGTCATGACCTCTCATGCCTAAATTAAAATAGTGCCGTCATTTTAGTAAAATGAATTATAAAAGAAAATAGTTTGTTCTTGTTCAGATTGAAGGGTAATCTGAAGAAACATTTGAAAACTCACGTCACATCAAAGGATGAGCTGGAACGTGCATGGAGGCCGTTCGCATGGTTAGTTGCTGTGTCAATACTGTTATTCATGCTGCTATTGGTACATGAAAATCAGACTCACTCGCAGACTAGTATAACTAATTGGTATTCAGGATAGTGAGAAATATCTTGAACTATTGGAACTTTTGATAAGCTTTCTCATTAATGGAAAACGAAATGATCACTTGAAGTTTACTTTGTTCTGAACTGTATAAGACACTTAGGCCGCTTCCAAGTTACAACGTATTCATAATCATTAAAGAAAAATCGGGAGATTAGTAAATAGATGTGAAGTGGTTGGAGAGCTGAGGAGG